GGCTCGGCTCCCAGCCGCCGCACATCCCACAATACACCGCTAAGGAGCCCGACCCGAGCTCTCACCCTCCTCCTCTTCCTCCTCCTCCTCCTCTTCCTCCTCCCCTCGCCTTCCTCGCCGCTTCCCCAGGCACTCTCCCGGCGGCGGCAGCTGCGCCGCCAAAGCCCCGGGCCCCAGTGGCCCCCCACCCCTCACTCGCGCGCTCCCACACTGCCTCCCCCCTCCCCGGGGGGAAGGCCTTTTAATTTATTTATTCTGCTGGGACTTAGGTGGGGGGCTCGGCTGGCAGGGGAGGGGGGTGTCCCCAAGCTCTACCTCCCAGGGCCGGGGCTACCCTCGGAGCCGCGGCCGCCCGGGCGAGCGTCTGGGGCCTCCAAAACTGTTTCCAAACTGCCAGCGCCCGAGGTGGGCGCGCGTGGACTCGGGGGACAGGGCTGGGTGGTTTTTTTAATTTTTATTTTGGGAGGGGGGGGACCTGATGGAGAAGAGGGACTGATTGTGTGTTTGGACGCCGGCAGCCGTGGGGGGGGAGCAGGCGTCGTCGACTCGAGCGGAGTTGCAATCGAGGGATCCTCGCTCCGGTTTCATCTCCGGCCCCGCGACCCCCTCTCCCCGCCGAGCATGGGGAGGGGAAAGCAGGATCTGAACCATATTAGCATTCGCTTTTCTGGGAGAATGCAAGCCTTTGCCTGGACTCTGGAGAGAGAAGCGTCTCTCTCCGCTTTTATTTTGGGAGGGGAGCGCCCAGTGATTGTCCTGAACACATGCTCTTCCCCCCCCCCTTCCTCCAGCCACAAGCAGAGGAGAGTCCCCCTTTTTTGCATTTCTCTTTTCCTTCCCCTTTCTTTATTAAAGGTCCGGAGTGGCGGCGGCCAATCAGCGCGCGGCTTCCATTTTGTGAGTCGAGCTCGGAGCTCCCGGGCTTGGCGGGGACGCGGCTCGCAGCCCCCTCGGCCCCGGCTCCCGGGCGGCCGGGGCGCAGCAGCCGCCTGCCCCGGCTTCGTGGTGGTGGATTTCATATTGGGGCTCTTTTCGGGGTTTGTAATTTGGCCGAGGGTAGGCAATTGGCTGGAGCAGGGCGGCAGGGCGCGGCGGCCAATCAGCGCGCGGCTTCTATAGGGCTTGAGTTATTAGACGCTGTTCTCCAAACATCCTTCATCAGACAAGAAGGAGAGGCCAACAGATGAGGGGAGCCATTTTTCTGCAATGGAATTAAATGGCCAAGTGGGTTTTTCCTTTGTTGCAAATGGGGAATGCTTTTCCTTTGACTCCACCATCCAGTTCAGGACGTCTCAGTGTGTTGTCTAACATTTGTCAGCAGGCTTAAAGGACTCACAATTGGAAGAATGAAGAAGACTTTTTTTAAAAAAAGACCTGGATTTTTTTTTTTCCTTATGAATTGGAATCCATCTTTGTCTTGTGTAACTAGGTCACAGCACACCATTAATGTCAGCAGTTAACAATTCTGAAATCCAAAAGACCTAAGTAAACGACATATTTAATCTTTTTTTTCTTTTTTATTCTTGACTGGGGGTGGGGGAGGGGGCTCGGAGCTGCCTTAATCTGTATTCTCTCGACTGAACAATAAATTTTTATATATAGTAGTTTCCTCTATTAAACACTTAAACTTGACCATTAACTCCTTTTGTCTTTTTAACAAGGTAATGTTTTCAATGTCTAGCTTTAGAACTAGTGAAATGGCAGCCAACAGCAGCAACACTATTGTGAGCAGTGGTAGGGTGGTTGTTTTTTTTCTTTTTTTAAAAAAAATCCCAAATCTTTTTACATTGTAAGTACCCAATCCATTCTGTCCGGGTGCAGTTTTTTTTTTATGTTCATGTTGCTAAGCTGTCCTTAAGATTTCTGCACCTTCATCTGCATGTCTGTCTGTCTCTCATGTCTTAATATGAGCCAGTTCAAGTGCTTTGGGGCGATTTTGCTTTTGCTAAAGCGAAGGTTTTAGCTGTAAGCTTTTGAAAATGTGTACAGGCAAGCATGCTAGTCAGCTTTCTTCCCAGCACCATGTGCATTTTCTTTGAAAATCTATCTATTTGGAGAAAAACAGCTCTGTTTTTCTCGTCTTGGAGTGGAGGGGGGAAGACAGTGAGGGCAAGGAAGACCTCTTTGTGTCCAGAGAACTCAAGTCACAGGAAACGAGATTAAAACTGGAAAACAAGTCCTAGCTGGTTGGAGCCAAACACGAACGTTAACTCGGCGGTATTTCTCTATGGCGGTTGGGATGATGGCTGGTGCGTCTGTTCTGCCTTTTGTTTGACTTGCTATTTTCGCCTTTTGTCTCTTAATGACGATCACACCCTTGCTATATCCAGAGCAGTAAACAGTCCTCAGCGAAGCCGCCTTTTGCCAACCCAACCCTGGAAATTTTGCAGAAGTGGAAGGAGCTGTGGCATGAATGTAACTTACAGAAAGGTAATAACAGCAAAAAAAAGATAAAAAAAAAAAAAGAGGCAACACTATTTCCCCTAATATTCCCAACGAACCAACCAAACCAACCAAAAGACCTTGCCTATGTATCTGGGCTGTTGTTTTTTAAAATAATAATAATACCTCTAAAACCACCGCCCAGCTTGATCGTCCGGACTGCATGGCACCGGGCTGAGCGGGTAAGTAGGACAAAAGAAAAAGGCAACGACCACGGCCAACGCCGTCCTTCTTCGAGGAATCCTGGTGCCTGCAGGCCCCGGGCTGCAAATGGCTGGGAGCGCGGGGGACAAAGGGTCCTGCAGCTTTAGGTGGGGCAGCCGGGGCGGGGGAGGCGCTCAGACCCCCCGACCCCCCGTGTCCGGGACTCATGTCTCCCCAGCTGTGACCCCCGGGGACCCCTGGCCTCGCCTGTCCCCCCGAATGGGAACCTTGGCGGTGGTAGTGACTCTGACGTGTCGTGGATACGGGGGGGGGACCCCCAGGACGAGGCGGCACCCCCAGGCCGCCCGGCAGCGCCTTCCCGGGGTGGTGGGGGGCCCGCACCCGCGGCCGGCTCGCCGGGGCCCGCGCCGCCTCAACGAGGCCGGACAAAGGCCGGCG